TAAAAAGAGAGAAGATCTCAATGTAGTTTAAAATACACTATTTAAAAACTAAATTTGATTTATTTGAGTTAATTTTTATGAATTTTACTGAAAAGACTTTAAATACACTCTAATTTTTTTTCGTTTATTTGCGCATATTAAGAAAGGTAACCATTTTCCTCTTTTAATGTGTGCAAATTTGCACACCGTGTAATAAAATTAAACACTGCCTGTTTACTTTAACATACCAAGTTTGTCGCAGAGCGCAAAATAACACATAAAATGTTTAAAATAGAGTAAATGTAAGCCCCTAATGTTTATTATTTGTGGGAAATGTATTTTTAATTTCAAAATTTTTGTCACTTTAAACATTTCATGTGTATATTTATGTGTATATTTTAAAGATCTCAAGTTCAAAATCGAATCCTGAACATCTTATACGTATGTATATTTATACAGATTCCTGTTGAAGAATAGATATTTTTCAGTAGTAGTTTTACACACACTTTTCATAGTATACAGGTACAAATGTAACATATTAATTACTATTTTTTATACTTACTTTGCAAAGTACTTATGTATAAAAGATGTAATTTATAAATTGAAATTACAAGTGTTTGATTTAAAGAAATATCAAAATATATATACACGTATTCCAAGTCCTTAAGATGGGTTAAATTATGTCTTTTTCTTCAAAATGTTTGGCTTTCTTACAAATTATGAGATGGATACGTAAAAAAAGAAAATTGGATACATTTGGATACATTTTTGGCTTGGTCGGTGATACATTTTCTTGGGACGGCGCGGCAACACTGCCACTGACGTATACTAATCAGTGTTGCCGCGCATAATTTTTAGTGGTAGCCAAATTCCTTTAATAAAAGGGCTAAAAAAGAGCTAAAAAAAGTCGTTGTGGCTAAAAATGGAAGCTAAAATGGTTTACCCACATATACATATATAAGTATAAATTTTCAATAAGTAATGGTATATAAAAACAATGAACTTTGGAAAAAAAGCTAATATTTTATCCAGCCAAAAACCTTTTTGTATAAAAGGGGAAATATACGACACCAGCTTGCTGGTTCCATCAAGTGATTGTACCATCAGGCTCGAAGCATATAACTTACCAGCATGCTGGTACAATATTTATTTCTTTACAAACGAGGTCGAGGAAAGATCGAAATGATTAGAGCCGAAATTTCATAATTTTTCTAGCATTTTGTTAAACATTGTTTTTTTTGTAATGCACAACTGCAATATCGTGAACGTTATCTTCCACAAACACGGCTTTGACTCATATAGAGCAAGAAATTTCCGCCAAAAAATACTTTTTACTTAGAAAATTGAGCTAATTTCACCACTAACGACACCAGCATGCTGGTACAATCACACCACAAGAACATACACGGTCAATCGACTTGATGGGTAATTTAACAAATTTAGCATATTCAGGGCCGTGAACTTATCTATTTTAAACTATAGTTAAATCGTTAACAGAACATACAATATATATATGTATATATATCTGTCTTTCTTAGTTTAAAAATTCATCTCTTACATAAATGCAAAAAAAACAAACTAAGCATATATAACTTTTTCATGCCAAGTATGACTAAATTCTAAAAAGGGCTAAAAGAAGGGCTAGGGGCAATTTTAAATTTATGTGGCCAAAAGGATGTGGTAGCTAAATCTAGCCACCAAAGGGCTAAAGCGGCAACACTGATACTAATACACCGCCCGTATGTCTACTATGCGAATTACAACGAACAAGTTTGTAAGTTTTTATCTGTAACTCTTGGATGTGGCTTCTGAATTTCTATTAAAAACTCTAGCTCACAATTATTAGCGATGATACTATTAATGTTTAAATAAATACAATTTAGATTATTTATTTTTGACCGACTTCCAAAAAAGGAGGAGGTTATCAGTTCCTAGGAATATTTTTTTTTTTGTATGTTACCGCATAACTTTGGACCACGTTAACCGATTAAGATAATTATTTTTGCACCGGAAAGGTAGTGTCTCAGAGGTGGTCCCATACTAATCTGGTTAAGATCCGATATGTGGATCATGAAATATATATATATATATTTTTTTTTTTATGTGAGAGTTGAAGTCGGTTTTTTTTTGCTAAAAATTACTTGTTCGTTGCTAGAATCGCATTTTACTTTGAGTGTTAGCATGTTTTTTATATGCTGGATAATCTATACTGAAAGCATAATGATTTACATCGACTTCAATAACTTTTTTCTTAACCAATTCGCTACAGTTTACGCATTTAACGATAGTTGAGGTACACTCTTTGCTATCGTGATTTCCAGCACAATTGCTACATGCTATTTTATTGGTACATTCAATCGCTTTGTGCTTATATCCCAGACATTTATAGCATCTTAATACATTTAGATGTTCGTAAACAACGCAAGTGTCCCTCTCGATATTAATTCTTTTTTGTTTCAGTACATTTTCATAAGTGACTGCATCAGTTTCTACTAATGTAATATAGCTTTCCTCCCTACGATTTGTATTATCATACATCTTTAAAACTTTGAACTCTTTTCCAGAGCACACATCGTTCTGCTTGGTTAAGCATTCTACGAGACGATCATTTCCAATTTTTTCAGTTAAACCAACTATTTTAAGTATCTTTTTTATCTCATTTTTCTCTCTTGTTTTCTGTGCTTCGTATTCATTTCCAATGCCCTCTCTTATTTTTTGTTTCTTTCACTTTCATTACAAGGCCGTCCGTAGGCTCTACTACTTTTTTTAGGGCTTCCTTTGTTTCCTTAGCTTTTTTGCTTTTATTTTTCGGTTTAATAACAATTTTACTTGCGCTCTCCGTAACCTTGGTAATTTGAGCATATGACATTTTCGTATTATTATCATTAGCTACGCGTAAATGCTTTAGCAGCTCATTACTCTTTTGGAATTCTTTAGACACATCACTTATGATCTCATTTTTCATAGCGTTAATTTTTACTTCAATATTATGCTCCAAAAATGAGTTGAAATCTGTTATAATGCTACTTTTTATCTGTGAACATTTATTACTAAATATTTGCTCAACTATCTGTTTCACATCAGAAGCTTTCATTTTTGATTGTTCACATTTATTGATTAAATGTTTAATCTCAATAAACTTGGTATTTGTGTCTGACAACGAGCATTGATTACATAACCATTTCAAATTAATATTTTCGGTTATTATTTTTATCTCGTGTCTCTTTATGTTACTGCATTTCACACAAAAATTATAACCACACCCACCAGAACATGATATCATTTCGTCTACTTGAAGCAGTTTCGCAGTACACTTTTTATATTCTGCCGGCATCATGTACAATTTACCATAAGGAGTATGGCAAAAATATACACCCGCAAAAGTAAAAACTATGCAACAATAAAATAATTAAATTAAAATTAAAATATTCTAATTAATCTCCGCGTGGTGGCAGCACTGTTAAGTCAGGTTATCACTTAACTTATGTCCTCACTTTCTTTGTTTTGCCTTTCACCCATGATTCAACAACTACAGGTTGTAGCAATCGTACAAAAACAACATTTACCGTTGGTATGAACTCCTTGTGTCATCACCATCTTTTTTATCTATTCATATTCGTGTGTATATGTATACCCTGCATACCAGGATTTCATAGAATTCTGAAAGGTTTCACAATTTTTTTAAGAATTTTCTTTAAGAAATCGTACAGAAATTTCTTTACTAGTTCTTGTCAACCGCCTCATATGTTTTTCTTTACAGATTTCTAAAAGAATCGTAACAAATTCCCGACACTCTTAAAGATTTCGGGAGCATTTGTTTGCAGGGTATATATATACGTATATGTGTATCTGTACGCGGATATGTAAATATAGCAAAACAGACGATAATTTGACACAAGCGTGCTCATAAGAAGAAGCATAGCTTCTATCGCTATCACCTGTAATTGATGCGCCTTGCCTTTCACCAATAAATCACTGTGGTACTCACAGAGAACGATTATAAGGCGCGCAGTCACCGGCAGAAAAAACACCAAGGCAGAGTAGATAAAACACTTTAGAACAGCCACATGCAAGGCAACAGCTATCCACAACCGCTCCGGCTCGTTTTGTTCAGTTGTACTCAGCGTATAAGCAGCAGTGTTGCCACTTGAGTCTATTTTTAGGTGCAAAAACGCCTACCAAATCAATTACCAAACTACCAAATCTTTGTTCATTATTAAAACGAGATTTCTTGGATGTACAGGGTTTTTAGCTACACGAATTGGCAGTATAATATTGTTTACAGTGCTGGTTAACCATTCATGCCAATCTCTAAGGTTAATCAATACAAATTCGGGCTTTTAAACAAAATAATTAACGTATTGCGTAAAAAAACTTTTGTAAAAATGTGATTACCTTTGAGGTTAATTCAATTCATATCAAACATTTTTAATGTTTAAAAAAACAAAATCAGACATTTTGTGCATTTCAATAAAACAAAATTCCAAATCTTGTTTCAATTTGCATACTCTCACCCTTTTTCTACCAATACACTCACACTTTGCAAATTGCCTATCACCAATTTTTCTTTCAAGACGATAGGCAATTTTTCGTTCAATCTCAACAGATTATCGATAATAGCTTTGGAAAGTGAGTTTTTGTTTCTAGAAAATTGTGTGCTTAGTAAAATTTAGAAAACATAAAGAAAACTTATACATGCGAGTAAAGTGAAAGCAATGTTTTCAACATGTAAACGCAAAGTGAACAAATTTTAATGCTAAGTTCGATTGAATTTTCAAAACATTTTTGCCTACCAAAAGCTTCATCAAACCAACCAAACTACCAAAGGAGAATGAAGCCACCAATTTTGGTCCAATTGGACCACAACGGCAACGCTGATAAGCAGCCGCTTGTTGATGTTCACTTAACTAACGACCGCTCAGCAGCGCAGCGGCTGCGCCGGTAGCAGCGAAGCAAGCCTGGATTTGGGAAAGCAGGCCAGTTGCTGGAATTCTTAGCTCTCCTTCCTTCAGTGCTTCTTTGTCCGCTTCGGTAGACTGTTTGGCTCACAGTAAACCAGTAGAAAAGGTTTTTGTTTTTGTAGCTGTTTCGTGGTGAAATTCCTTTATGGGGGCCAAATTTCCCCACAAGAAATTGAGCGCATGGTTGCTTTTGCATTCCAAAAGAACGAATATTAGAAAACATTGAAAAAAAGTCTGAGATAATACAATTATATTCTACTAGAAATAAACTCGATAGTGTGCGCTAATTAGATAATGTGATAATCATGTTTAAAAACTCTTTACAAGTCTTATTTTTCAGAAATTAATATTGTGGATCAGATTGCTTTGAGCGCTTCTGTTGTTTACCAAGAAAATGCACCCCTGTTGGTTATTATTTCTGTATCGCAAAGCGGTGAGTTTCTATTTCTTGGTAATTCGGTTTGTGAAATGGTAAACAAATTATTGAAATTTATTTATTTGATGTGTTTAACATTTGACTAATGCAATTTTCTGCCTTTTCAGACTATTAATTACAAGCACAGCATCATCAACGGTGATTGCAAGAACTACTGCAATCCCTGCGGTTTTTCCTCTTGGTAAATGCGTTCTGGTCGTGACCAAGGGTGGTCTCCCAATCGGCCGGGAATAAGGTTAGTCATTTTCAATTTTATATCTTTGTTCATCGACATTATATGACATCTCATCATTGCAGGCTATTGTTGCAGAACAAAACGCCACAACCACCGCTGTTGTAAATATGTTCCAGCAGTACTGCCCACCGCCGTCGGAGTAATGATTTCGATAGCTGAACAAACGCCATCTCCTGGGCATTCCCACATACCGACAATAGCTATTATATCACGTGTGAATGCAACTGCGGCTAAATTTGGTTATTAACAGTGCAATAGTGCCATGTCATTGGCAAAAACACTAAGGGATGCTGGCACATAGAGGTTGTAAAGTTTTTGGAATCGATGAACTTACTCGAAGAAGACGATGGTCGAAAACATATGATGAAACATCTTCTGGCGTGCCTTTGACAATCGTTAAGGTAGACGGAGGCTTCACATACGATATTTCACACATGGCTGGAATTCGTTAGCGGACAGAGCACACATTTACAAAATATTTATCGTTCTGCAGAACGTGCATGCATATTCGATTCCGATTTTATGGGTCGATTACGGAGGACAACCGAACTTCAGTTGGTTGGCCAGTGGCTGAAATGGTATTACCGATGGCAACTAGCAACTGAAAGCTGGTAACTGAGTTGCTATATTGGCACAAACTAATCAAGGCTGTCATAGAATCCATCGTAGTCCGATTTTCCGTGAAATCTACGAAAATGCTATTAAATTCGAGTAGCTACGAACGCAGTGCTTGCTTTGAATACACACGTTCATAGCAGTTCAGATTCAGTGATCGCTTTTTTTAGATTTTATGAAAAATCGGACTACGATGGATTCCGCCACCAATATATTTTCTCCTTTGACAAGATGTTGGAGAATCGCGGCAGCACAGCCCTATACCTACCCTATGCTCTTACGCGCATATGCTAAATTTCTCGCACCTAGCTAAAGTGCTTGACAAAGGCAGAAGGCTTATCTTTAACATTATAACTTAAAGTAAAAGAGTTAAAGATATGCAATAAAAGAATACAACAGAACCAAAAAATCTCAAAACTATTAAACATAAAAAATTGCACGAATAAAATTCATAATTTAAAATAAAATAAAATATCGCAATTGTTTTTTATATGTACATACATATTTACAAAATGAATCTTAAAGCACCCACAGTAAGTCCTAAACATATAAACGACTAATAAGAAAAATAATAAATAACAGTAATGTGAACAAGTATGTCGAGAAATCTAAATAGTAGCTAAACTGTATCTGAATAATAACAAGTAATTTTGAGCAAAAAATACAACCGACCTTAATGCTCATTCAGGTCGTTCTGGTTACGTAGATCCGACTGTTCTCCCTTTTTTTAAAAAGGTTAAAAAATGAATACGTATTCTACAGAAATCAAGATACATATTTAAGGACTTTAAGTAAAAATAAACAAAGGAAAACTTGTTCGTGATATCTCGAGGTGTATCCATGATACAAAAATCTGAAGGTAAACCCGCTGAGAGGCAGCCTGAACATTTTTGAAGTTTGCTAACATTACAAAAATGTTTTCAAATTTCCAATCTCACAAATACATAAATAATAAATAAAATTTCAATATTTTCATCTATTTGTTTTTTGTTTTACTTTTATTTGGCATTTGAGTTGCTCTCAAAATTTCAATTTTATAAAACATGATAAAAACATTACAAGGTAAATTCATTCCCTCAATTCGTCGGCCATGATTTTGTTCTGACGTTTGCCAACATTTTAAAATCATATAAAATTGAAAATAAAAAAATTAAATTGTTCACAATTGTTGTTGTTTGAGATTGAAAATGAGAATGTGTGTGTGACTTTGAGTTTTGATTTTAAAATTATATTGTTGGCAAACGTCAGACTGCCTCTCAATGGTTTTACCTTGTTATGTTTTTATCATGTTATAAAATAGACAAACTTCAAAAAATAAATGATGGCCGACGAATTGAGCAAGCGCTTTTACCTTTAAATATTTGTATCATGGGTGTTTTAAACAAGGTGTTATTGACAACTCAGTGCGGCTCTCTTAATATTATGTAAAAAATATAAACAAACGATTCAAAATGCATAAACATTTTTTTCAATTTGACTATAGGATGGTTCTTCTGAGAGCAATATCAAATTCAATCACACTTTGTTAAATACATTTTGATCTCTACCAAATATACTTCCTCTGTAAATATTCTATGAAGTGTTCCAAAATTTGCTCCGAGCGCGTTCACTGTTGATCATTTGATTTAAATAGTTTGTCATACAATTAATACTATAGTTTGATCGGAGTTAATATATTCTTCAGTAATTAATTATATTATATTAAAACATAAGCTTATAAGAAATTTTTTAGTCTTAACATGCATATTTTATATCGTGTTCCAAAATTCGCTCCGAGCGCGTTCACTATTGATCTTTTGATTCAAATATTGTTTGTCAAGCATTCAGTAGTGAAGTTTGATCGGAGTTTATATATTCTTCAGTAATTAATCATATTACATTGAAATATAAACGTATAATATGGTAGAAAGTTAGAAATTATTTAGTCTTAATATGCATAATTCGCTCCGTGTTCCAAAATTCACTCCGAGTGCGTTCACTATTGATCATTTGATTTAAATAATTATTTGTCAAGCATTCAGTACTATAGTTTGATCGGAATATATATATTCTTAAATAATTGATCACATCTTATTAAAATATAAACCTTTAATAGGGTACAAATTGTGAAATTATTTGGCTTTAACATGTATAGTCGGCCAGAGACAATTGCAGAAAACTGCAACTACTCGTGAAAACTTACAATAAAAACAATGTAGATGAAAGTAATACATTTTATTATTAAAATTAGATCCATATATAACACACTTTACATCATT